TATTTTTATTTTTATTTTTATTTTTATTTTTATATTTATTTTTATTTTTATTTTTATTTTTATTTTTATTTTTATTTTTATTTTTATTTTTATTTTTATTTTTATTTTTATTTTTATTTTTATTTTTATTTTTATTTTTATTTTTATTTTTTTTTTATTTTTATTTTTATTTTTTATTTTTATATTTAAAATAAATTCTCATCTGATGTGGCATTGAGTCATCCGCCACGTTAGATCGTCCGATTAAGTTATTTAACGTCGTTTAACGTCGATGAGGTTTTTGTCAAAAATTTACAAATTCAGTATTTTTTATGTCAAACGAATTGAGGTCGGTTGTCGTGTGCAAGTAGTTCTTATTACACATTTCGGGGCTGTAATAACAGCAAGAGAAGGGGTTATACACGAGAGATCAAAGTCAATGGTGTATTAAAATATGTTACGTAGGAATTTCTTCTCTACCGCCGATGCCGATTTCCGTAGGAATTATACACAGTGATCAGTGATAAATGATGAATTATACACAGTGATCAGTGATCAATGATGGCCGTGATTACTATAATTTCTTTCCTTTTAAAATAATTGTTGTTTTAGATTACTTCACATCTTTTTTTATAAAAAAATTATATATATCCTTATTTAATAATAAAAATAATATTATTATTAATAATTTATTAAAATTTAATGAAAATAAAATTGAAAACTAATATAAAAAAATCTTTTGAAAATATAATATGATAAATATTTTGAAAGATGAAAAATAATCTAAAACTATAAATATTTTGAAATGGGGAGAGTATTAGAGAGAACCGTCTCGAAATAATTTATGCTTTCCGTGCAAATATAAAAAATTAATTATTCTATAAAAAAATTAGCAAACAAATAATTGATTTTATCATGATTAATATATCAATTATTTACTTATACAAAATTGTTTTTTATTTTTATTTGAAATAATCACTAAATCTTCTCCAAAATTCAAAAAAAGAATATGTATATTAAAAAATTTTAAAATATAGAAAGAGAACAAATTTAATACTTTAGATATTGATGAATTTTTTCATAATAACAAACAGGTATTAGTAATATTTGTAAGTAAATTTAAATGGATATGATTTTCTCGAAACAAAATTGAGTTCAAACGATTATAGAATTATTTGGATGTGACTAGTAAATAACTGCGCGATGCACCATCTATTTCTTTTTTATATATATCAATGATTGTTTATACTTTTTATCGATATAAATATTTTAAATATTAATAAAATATTCCGTTTTTAGTTATTGTATAGTTGTAAATAGTTAGTGTATAGTTATAATGTAAAGTTATGACGTTTGATGAAATTTTTTTAACTTCACAAATAAATTATATTAAAATTAAATCCTAAAATTTGTTGTAATATTCTACACGCAATGTTAAACGGTGTTAATATTATCCGATTTTATAAACTGGAACGATAATATGATCAATACATCATCATATTTTGCTTACATAAATTTGACATATGAAATTTAATAAATATAAAAAATACAATTATATTTATTAAAAATCAATTAATTAGTTACTAAATTTTTTATATATTATTCTAATTTGAAGAGACTTTCAAAAAATTGTTATACCATTCATTTTTTTAACCAATTTTTTCTATGAATTTAAACTTTCATGGTCGAGCGACGAGATATGATATAATATATTCATCTAGTTCAGTAGTTTTATGTTTGGTTCCAAGTTTCTACAAATTGAACCGAACCGACCGATAAAACCGGTTTAGATTTTGGTGAGGGGCAAAACTTAATGGGCCTGGTAGAAATGGGCCCAAGGCCTAATTATGACGATGCAATCGCAGAGAGTCCCGAGGAGGAAAAAAAAATATTATGGCGTAGGATGACGTAAGACTGTTCTTTCAGTAGGGCTTTTGACTCCCTACCTCTTCTTCTGCTCTCCTCCTCTGTCGACAGTT